CATCCTTGCCAGCATTTGTTATTTTCTGCCTTTTTGATAATAGCCATTCTAACTGGGGTAAGATGATATCTCATTGTGGTTTCAATTTGCCTTTCCCTGATGATTACTGATATTGATCATTTTTCATACACTTGTTGTCCATTTGTATGTTTTCTTTTGAGAAATGTCTATTCAAATCTTATGTCTATTTTAAATCGGATCATTTGGTTTTTTGCTATTGAGTTGTCTGATTTTCTTTTATATTCTGGTTATTAAACCTTTGTCGAATGAATAGTTTGCAAATATTTTCTCCCATTCTGTGAGTTGTCTCCTCACTCTTTGGGTTGTTTCCTTTGCTGTATGGAAGCTTTTTAGCCTCATGTGATTCCATTTGTCAGTTTTGCTTTGGTTGGCTGTGCTTTTGAGGTCTTACCCAAGAAATCTTTGCCCAGACCAATATCCTGAGGTGTTTCCCCAATGTTTTCTTCTAGAAGTTTTATATTTTCAGATCTTATATTTAAGTCTTAAGTTTATTTTGATTTGATTTTTCAGATATGATGAGAGAGCAGAGTCTAATTTCATTGCTTTGCATAGATATCCAGTTTTCCCAGGAACATTAAAGAAACTGTCCTTTTCCTAATGTATGTTCTTGATACCTTTTGTCAAAATTAGCTGGCTGTAAATACGTAGATTTATTTCTGGGTTCTCTATTATGTTTCATTGGTCTATGTGTCTGGTTTTATACCTGTATCATGCTGTTTTGTTTACTATAGATTTGTAGTATATTTTGAAGTCTGGTAGTGTGATGCCTACAGCATTGTTCTTTTTGCTCAGGATTGTGTTCAGGGACTTTTGGTTCCATATGAATTTTAGGATTGTTTGTTTCTATTTCTGTGAACAATGTCATTGGTATTTTGATAGTGATTTTATTGAATCTGTAGAATGATTTGTGTAGTATGGACATTTAAACAATATTAAATCTTCCAAACCACGAATATGGGATATCTTTTTGTTTTTTTATGTGTGTCATCTTCAATTATTTTCATCAATGTTCTATAGTTTTTATTATAGAGATCTGTCACTTCTTTGGTCAAGTTTGCTTCTAGATATTTTATTTATTTAATTTTTAAGCTATTATACATGAATTGCTTTCTTGATTTCTTTTTCAGATTGGTGTTGGCATATAGAAATGCTTTTGATTTTTGTATGTTGATTTTGTATCTTATAACTTTACTGAATTCATTTATCAGTTCTAACAGGTTTTTGCTTTTTTGTAGTCTTTAGTTTTTTCTAAATATAAGATAATATAATCTGCAAACAAGGACAATTTGACTTTCTTTCCAATTTGAATGACCATTATTTCTTTCTTTTGCTAATTGTTCTTGCTAAAACTTCTAGCATTATGTCAAATAAAAGTGGTAAAAGTGGGCATCCTTGTCTTGTTCCACATCTTAGAAGAAAGTCTTTCAATTATTCCCCATTTAGTATGATGCTAGCTGTGGGTTTATCATATATGCCTTTCATGACTTTGAAGTATGTTGCTTGTATATCCTAATTGCTGAGATTTTGCCATTAATTGATGTTGAATATTACCAAATGCCTTTTTGACATCTATGGAAATTAACATTTGATTTTTTTCTTGAGTCTATTAATATGATGTATCACACTTATTCATTTGCATATGTGAAACCACTCATGCATCCCTTAGATGAATTTTACTTGATCATGGTGAATTACCTTTTCAATGTATTATTGAATTCAGTTTGTAGTGTTTTGCTGAAGATTTTTGCATCAATGTTCATCAATGATATTGGCCTATAGTTTTCTTCTTTTGTTGTATGTGTTTGGTTGTGATATCAGAGGTGTCCTTGTAGAATGGATTTATTTTTTGAATAGTTTGAGTATAATTGATATTATTTATTCTTTAAATGTTTGGTAGAATTCAACAGTGAAGCCATCAGATCCTGGGCTTTTCTTTGATGAGTGATTTTTATTACTGCTTCTATTTCATTGCTCATTTGTCGGTTTAGGTTTTCTATTTCATTATGTTTTAAGCTGGGTAGGTTTTGTGTATCTAGAAATTTATACATTTCTATTAGATTTTCCAATTTACTGGCATATAGTTGCTCACAATAGTCTCTAATGAGCCTGTAAATTTCTGTGATGTCAGGGGGAATGTCTCCTTTTTCTTCTCTAAAATTTTATTTATTCATGTCTTCTCTCATTTTTTCTTAGTCTATCTAAAGGTTTGTAATTTTGTTTATTTTTCCAAAAACAGCTTTTTTGTTGATTTTTGTATTTTTTAGTCTCAATTTTATTTATTTATGTTCTCATCTTTATTATTTCTTGCCTTCTACTAATTTAGGGTTTGGTTTGCGCTTGTTAGTTCTTTAAGTTGCACAGTTAGGTTGTTTATTGAAGTCTTCCTACTTTCTGGTGTAGGCATTTATTGCTAAAAATTTTTGTCTTAGTGTTGCTTTTGTTGTGTCCCATAGGTTTTTAGCATGTTATATTTTCACTTTCATTTGTTTCAAGAAACTTTTTAATGTCTGTCTTAATGCTTTCATTGACCCATTTGCCATTCAGAAACATGTTGTTTAATTTCCATATATTTCTATAGTTTCCATAGTTTCTCTTGTTGTTGATCTCTAGTGTTGTTCCATTGTGGTCAGAAAAAACATTTGACATGCTTTCAAGTTTTTTTAATTTGTTATGACTTGTTTTGTGGCCTAACATATGGTCTATCCTGGAGAATTTCCCATGTGCTGATGAGAAGAATGTGTATTCTGAAACTATTGGGTGAAATGTTCTGTAAATGTCAGTTAGGTCCATTTAGTGTATAGATTAATTCTATATACTATGTGGTAGTCTTTGGATTGAATCTGCTTGGTGTTCTTTGACCTTCTTGTACCTGCATATTCATATTTTTATCCAGGTTTAGAACATGCTGTTATTATTTCTTTGAATATACTTTCTATCCCATCTCTTTCTTTATATCCTCTTTAAGGGCAATTACTGTTAGTTTTGCCCTTTTGAGGCTATTTTCTAGATCTTGTAAATGTACTTCATTCTTTTATCTATTTTTCTTCTATAATTGTTGCATTTTCAAATAGCTGTTCTCAAGCTTACCAATTCTTTCTTCTACTTGATTAATTTTGCTGCTGAGACACTCTGATACATTTCTGTTTGTCTATTGAATTTTTGAACTCTGGGATTTCTGTTTGATTTTTTAATTATTTTAATCTGTATTAAATTTCTGTCTTATGAATGTCTTCTTTGTTTTATCTTGAAGGTTGTTGAACTCCCTCAAACAGCTATTTTGAGTTTCCTATTTGAGAGGTTATATATTTCTGTCACCAAGGATTGATCACTAGTGGCTTATTTCTGTTTGCTGAGGTCATATGTTCCTATAAGTTCTTGATACTTACAGATGTGTGTCCATGCCTGGGCATTGAAGAGTTAGGTATTGATTCCAGTCTTCATAGGCTGTCCTTGTTTGTACCCTTCCTTCTTCAGAGGGCTTCTTAAGAATTCCAAAAGGACTAAGTGTTAAGTTACCTAAGCTTTTGGTTGCTGCAACCATTTCAGCACTGGAAGCCACACTAAGCCCAGATATGCTATGACTGTTGCAGGCTTCCAGATATCAAACCCTGATGGCCTTGGGGAAGACAAGGGTGAAGTCTCTGGGTTCCTGGGCAAACTTTCTTACCTTCTTTCTCCTCAATAAAAAGAGGCCCTCTCCTTGCTGCATTGCCTGGATTTGGGGGAGGAGTAACACAGGCACTCCCATGGTTGGTGTGGCCCTATGCTGGATCACGCCCAAAGCCCATGACCTCCCAGACCAGCACAGTACTGGGGCTCCCTCAGGGCCTGTGGCCTGCCTAACTGCCACTTAAGTTTATTTAAGGCCTGAGGCCACTCTAGTCAGTAAGTAGTGAAGTCTGCTGGGATGGGTTTGTTTCACCAGAGCAATGGAATCCCTCCTGGCAGAGGTTAGGCCTAGAAGTGCCATCAATGTGCAATGGCCTAGAATCTGGGGCTTCTGGATTTTGCCTGATGCCTATTTTAATGTGGCGAGGCTGGTACTTGGTTGCAAGGCAAAGTCCCCTATACTTTTCTTTCTCTTTCCTCCAAGTCAAAGGAATCTCTCTATATACTGTACTGCCTGGAGTTGGGAAAGGCGTGACACACGAATTCCCATGGCCTCTGCATCTAATGTCACACTGGGACCTATCCCAAGCTCACAGCCTCTAAGACCAGTGCAATACCAGGGCTCGCCCAAGGACTGCAGTCACTACGGCCTAACTGCTACTCAAACTTATTTGGAGTCCCAGGCCATATCAGTCAGCCAGTGGTGAAGTGGGTCAGGACTTAGTTATTCCTACTGGGTCGGTAGATTCTCCTCTGGTCTAGGGCTGGTCTAGATGCTCTCTCTGGGGGCACCACCAGAATTCTGCCTGATGCTGTGTGTTTCATTGTGACAGGGCGGCACTGAGTTCCGACGCAAAGTCCCACATTCTGTTCTCCTGTGCTAGTCTGCTTTGACTTTCTGTAAGGAAAATACCTGGGGGTGAGTAAGTTATAAAGAAAAGAGGTTTATTTGGCTCACAATTCTCTAGGCTATACAAAAAGCATGGTGCTGATATCTACTTCTGGTAAAGCCCTCTATTTTACTCAAGATAGAAGGGAAAGAGGGAGCAGGTAATCACATGGCAACAGAGGAAGAGAGAGAGAGAGAGAGGAAAATGTGCCGGCTCTTTTAAACAACCAGATCTTGTGAGCACTACCCCACTTCTAACCCTGGAGATCAAATTTCAATATGAGATTTAGAAGGGACAAACATCCAAACCATACCATCTCCCTTCCACAAGCACACAGAACCTCTCTCCTGGCTGTGCTGCCTGGAGTTGGGGGAGGGGTAGTGAAAGCAGCATAAGACTTTCCTTCCTACTCTCTTTAATTCACCATCTTTCCCTTTGGTGCGTATTATTACGTTAAAACCAGGTACTGTGATCACTCACCTGACTTGGGGTTCTTATGAAGATTCTTTGTTGTGTGGATAGTTGTTCAATTTGATGTTTCTGCGGGGGTGGTGGGGGTAATCACTGGAGGGTTTTATTTGGCCATCTTGCTCTGCCTACACCAGCAGAAGGCTTGTTTATGTAGCTTGGTCTTCCCAATGATTTCCTATGGATTTTAAGCATAATTTCAAAAAATTAACTTACCAAGATAATTTAGAAGCAATATCATGATAATTTTAAGAGATGATGCATATTTAACCTAAAACTAAATTAAGCCAAATTGAAAATTGAAAAAAAAATTAAAAAATAGCATCTAGTAATTTTAATTTGACATGATTTTAATGAAAGCAATAAATTACTTAAAATAGAGATCATTACTGTTAATATTCCCTATAGATTATTTAAACAATCTGTCTGCATATATTGAGTGGGAAATAAAGAAAAATGTAGATTAAATATGTAGATGACGGAGGAAAAGACAAAATAATTTCAAAGTAAGATGCTTAAATAAATATTATTTTAAAATAGCAGCTAGTAATTAATTTGACATGAATTTAATGAAAGAAAAAGCAACTAAGGTAAATGAAAGAATTGTAGAACTTCATATTTTTTTCATCATAAGAGATAATAGATACTAAAAGATTCTTCTAAATTAAAAACAGTATTTAAACCATCAATAAATTGTAGTGGCAGGATTTATTTAAATTACACATTTTAATTTTAGTCATCATCATTAACTCCTATGAAAAATGAGATAATTAGTAACCTCTATTTCTTCTTTCTTCTCAGTTTGTTGCTTTTATAATATTTAATTTGTGATAGTTTATTATATAGTTGTTCTGCAACAGTAATTGCCTTATTTGTTTTATCTTAGGTTTATATGTAAATGAGTTAAGTGTTCAGTCACCTATCCTTAACCATGGTTTCTCAATTTCTAGATTGTTTGTTGTGATTCATCTCTTCATTGGTTGCACTGAATCTTTGAGTAGGTTCTTAAAAAATGTTTCATCATTGCTGAGTTTCATTAAACCTGTTATTTCATGTATAAAATGCCTTTCTTTTTTATTTATAGCTGAAGAGCAATTTGACTTTATATAATGAAGGTTACATTATTTCTAAAAATGAATATCCATTCAAAGGCCAGATTTCACACTTGTAGGTTACTTGCTTTTTCTTTTTCGAAACTTAATGAATGCTTTCTTTATTTTGAAATCCAATAACTTAACTAAATGTATGTATATAACACTAGTTTTTTATTCTTATAATGTTTCTTGGCCTATGATATGCCCTGTTAATTGAAAGTTTCAGTCATTCATTTATTTTAGGTACATTTTCCTCTATTATATCTCTGATTATTTTCTGTTCTATTTGTTGGTGTCCTTACTTTAGCAATACCAATCACCCTATGGTGCTTGGACTATAGTGTCCATATCTATTGTGTAATTATTTTAAACTTGTTGTCTATTTTTATTCAATATGACTAAATAAAGCCTTATCTCTATGATGATTTCTGTTTATTGCTGCTACTAGTTTGTTTATCCATATTGCTTGCTTTGTAACATAGTTTTCTTTTTGCTTACAATATTCCCTTTCTTCTTATTATGATCTTTTATTATATTATTGTGCTTTCCTAGTTTTTACTGAATCCATATCCTTATTGGATTATTTAATGAATGCAAAACACCAGCAAAGAATCTGCCTTGGTCCCTTGGACTACGTAGTCTTTCAAATTGAAGTATCTTTGTTATCTTTTAAAATCAATGCCCTTCTCCACTTATATATTTTTATTTTTTGGCTGCAATACATTTTCATTGCTCTTAAACCATTTTTTCCTCTTCCACCTTTGTTAAGATCGTATTTTTACTCTGAAATAGTGTGTTTTCTCCTTGACATCATTCCCACCATATCTGGGATGGTTTGTCTTCCCTTGTGACCTGGAAGGCACAGGAGGCAGGTGGTGGAAGGAGGAAAGCACAGCTGGGACTGATTACAGTCTTTGCTGAGGTCCTGAGTTCATTCTTGTTGCTGAGATCCCAGCAGATGTCCTTTATTGGACTCCCTCACAACCAGATTGGCATGAATTCAACTCTTCTGAGCTTTGGCTTACTCCCTTTATTTAGTGCTATACACTGGAGCAAGAGAATCAGGGAGCCCTTCCTGCTTCTGCCAATGTCCAAATGTGGTTTGTAGAGCATCTACTCAGTGTTTTATCTTGATTTTCCCAGACATTATCTACTCATCCCTTCAGCCCACTCATATTCAAGTTGTAGAGTATTTAGAAGTGTTCTCAGGATTTGTGTAGCTTCCTACAACCTCAGTGCTGCTTCTGGAAGTAGGAGCAGTGTTGGGAGTCCTGTTGACTTGGCCATTACACCAGAATCTTCTGTTATTTTACTAATCATCACTTTTATAACCCTTCCCCATTTATTTCTGATGCTGGAAAATTTTTGACAGTGTTGCTTTTATTTTGCTTTTATTTATTGGAGGAGAAAAATTCTTAACCGCAACTTCATAGTATTACGATCCTTCAGATAAAAAGTTATCTTCAACTGTATTTGTGAGATATGCATCATAAGAGATTAGAGCAAAAACACTAATATATTACAATAAATATTAATACTTATTGCTTGTTTTAAGTATTTTATTTCACATGCTGTCAACAACTTAAGTTCAAAGATTTGGACTATCAAATATTAAAATTTATCAACATCAAGTATCTACTTTGTACAAAGTATTAGGGCTGGGTGCTATCTGTGAAAGATGTAAAAGTCAGTAGGAAGGACAGGAACATGGAGAGAGACAAATATGCTTAGACAATTCTACAAGGTCACATTAAGTCCTTTCGATAACAAATCACAGACAAAAAGTAAAGGTGAGCTAAAGAAGGGAGATAGTATATCCAGTTAAGAGAATATCAAAAGCCATAGTGGAGAAGTTGGCATTGATAATGTATTCCAAAGATGGTCAGTGAAGAGAGTAGGTACATTTAAAGTTAAAAAAAGTAACGGGATAAGCATTAGACAAGGGGGTAGAAAAGCATAAAATGTAGCCGGAAAAGAACAAGCTATATAATAAGCAAATAGATATACCTGGGACATAGCAATCATGCTGTATTCAGTCACTTCTCCTCCCTTACATCTAAATTTTTTATTATGATAAGCTCATTCACCTGGGCTCCTCCTTCCACAAAACAATATCTCTGGTCCTTATCCCACTCCTCTACATACCTATCTGTTAGATCTGCCCCACCAGTTCAGTGATTGGTTCTGATCACTTATATTTAAAGTGAGGTTTATGTAGGCATTGCATTGGTACAAAGAAATAGGTTGATAAAGCACTTTGAAAATCATGACCTATGAGAAAGAGAACAATGAATTTATTCATTGGAAGCCCTCCATAGCATGAGGCATACTATTAAATATGATAAAAGTGCCTGAAATTGTGACATTTGCATTATTCAAAAGAGCCAACTATTGGATACAGTGTCCTATTTGAGTGTTGTGTCTATTGATTAAAATTTCTGCTACGATTCTAAAGTGGATTTAATCTACCTTCTTATAAATGTCATTTACAGAACATTCTACCCAAAACCACTGAATATACATTCTTCTCATCAGCTCATGGGACATTCTCTAATATTGACCATATCCTAGGTCACAAAGCATGTCTCAAAAAAATTTTAAAAATAGAAATTATAATGTGCATCTTCTCAGATCACAGTGGAATAAAATTAGAAACAAACCTCAGCAGAAACTCTCATCTCTACATAAAGTCATGGAAACTAAACAATCTTCCTCTGAACAATTATTTTGTAAATGAGGAGATCAAGAGAGAAATCAAAAGATTCTTTGAACTAAATGACAAAGGAGACACAAGTTACAAAAGCTGTGGGATATAGCTAAAGCGGTCCTGAGAGGAAAGTTTATTTCCATAAATGCCTATATCCAAAAGACAGAAAGAGCACAAATAGACAACCTAATGAGTTGACTCAGAGAGATGGAAAAAGATAAACAGACTGACCCCAAACCCAATAGAAGAAGTGAAATTAATAAGATCAAATCAGAACTTAGTGAAATTGACAATAAAAATCTATACGGAAGATTAATAAAACAAAAAGTTGGTTCTTTGAAAAAATAAAATTGGCTAGACTAAAGAAAGAACTCTAATAAGCTCCATCACAAATGAAAAAGGAGAAATGACAACTGATGCCGCAGAGATACATCATCTATGAATAGTACAAAAACCTTTATACACTTAAACTGGAAAATGTGGAGGAAATGGACAAATTTTAGAAACACACAGCCTCCCTAGGCTCAACCAGGAAGAAATAGAAATCCTGAACAGACCAACATCAGGAACTAAAATTGAAACAGCAACAATAGTGATATAGCACATCTTGTATTTTCCTGGTTAGAGCTGGAACCCATACTACTAAGTGAAGTATCCCAAGAATGGAAAGACAAGCACCACATATACTCACCAGCAAACTGGTATTAACTGAGCAGCACCTAAGTGGACACATAGGAACTACAGTAATATGGTATTGGGCAGGTGGGAGGGGGGAGAGGGGCGGGTGTATACATACATAATGAGAGAGATGTGAACCATTTGGGGGATGGTCATACTGGAAACTCAGACTTGTGAGGGAAGGGGGGGAAAGGGCATTTTTTGAAACCTTAAAATTTGTACCCCCATAAGATGCTGAAATAAAAAAAAAAAAACCCTTCCTAAAAAGAGAAGTCCTGGACCAGATGGTTTCAAATCCGAATTTTACCAGACCTACAAAGAAGAACTGGTGCCCACCCTGCAGAAATTATTCCACAAGATCGAGAAGGATGTAATCATCCCCAACACATTCTATGAAGCCAGCATAACCTGCTACCAAAATCAGGAAAGGATGAGAAAGAAAGAAAGAAAGAAAGAAAGAAAGAAAGAAAGAAAGAAAGAAAGAAAGAAAGAAAGAAAGAAAGAAAGAAAGAAAGAAAGAAAGAAAGAAAAGAAAGAAAGAAAGAAAGCAGGCAGGCAAGAAGGCAAGAAAGAAAGAAAGAAAGAAGGCAAGAAGGCAAGAAAGCAAGAAAGCAAGAAAGCAAGAAAGCAAGAAAGCAAGAAAGAAAGAAAGAAAGAAAGAAAGAAAGAAAGAAAGAAAACTACAGACCAATAT